TAGAAGCTCTGACCGCAGAATCAAATATTATCACAAACATTTCTCAATAGCCAAAAAACATATGAGATCTCATGAGAACTATATAAGCTAAGGACGACCTGCCAGAGAGGTGGAGAGATTTGTCTCAGACAATGATAAATATTTGTCTACATTACATTTTAATGCTTTAACGTGCTGGCCAAGAGGAAATTGGCTTATTGACCAGATATCTGCCTCGGTTGAATTATGTAAACAGATGATGTGATGTAAGAGACTTTTTGGTTAAATGTAACTATTCCATGAGAATTAAGGCACTTGAATTCTTATTAAAGGCAAAGAATCTTCATTATAAATAACAGCTGAACTGTCTTGTGTTTAGTGTTTTCTTTGAACATTGTGCCAGAGCTAAACAAATGTGATGTAACACATAAACAGCAGTGACCAGGACCAGTGTTCTAGTGGTACACCCACCACAATCATAAGGTGATGTAAGCTATTTGTTACTGGTGACCAAAAATGCATGCCAAAGGAATGGCAACGATGAAGCCAACTGAGCTGATTGTTGCATTTGCTTTGTTCTGTTAGCCAAGAACAAACAGCAGTTATGCATTATTGATTATAACCTTTGACAAGGCTGCTACTTGAAGAATGCAGCACTACCCAGGAACAGCTGCTCTTTCCCCTACACCCTGACCTGGAGGCCTTTTGTCATATTGTTCTGTCCCTGTTACGGGCATGACACCGCTTGATTTCAATCCAAATGTAATATTAATTTTAATCTAATTTGCCATTCATTTATCTATGCTTAAAGAGTTAACTTAATTATAACTTTGGTTATCTCTACTTTTTCTTTAGTTTATTTTGAAACAAAAAAGGAATTTAGAATAGGACAAGACAAGGTATGATAACAACAACATTAAGTATACGAGCTATGAGCTCTGGAGTGAAAGAGGATGAGTTCAGCCCTGTGACAACATTCACAGTATTTAAAAAGTAGCTCTCAAACCCTTAACAGCAAGCCTAAGGGGCGTGTCAGCGGTTTAGTGAATTCTTGTTTTAAGGACAGCAGACGCTTTTTCTTATAGTAGAACAATCAAGGCAAGGTTTATGACCAAATAACAGCAAAATGTTATTGTATTCATCTCAGGTGCACTTATGTGACATTAATGCGAATTATTCAATGTATTCTTAACTGAGACATTATCGTTTCGTGTCATCAGTGACATTATTAGTCTCTGTCCAAAAGATTTTTTTAATGATAAATTTTAAAAAACACAGACTCTCACAGTCAAAGTGAATAAAGTGCTAGTTAATTTTCTTTTAGTTGAAAAAAACAGAAAGGGACCTATTACCTGGACAGCCCATCTGGGTGGTGCTTGGCAGCAGTAAAAGACTTTGAGGCGCTCCGTCACAGGACAACTCTTGTCTTCAAAGTGGTCCACTATTGCCTGGAAAAGAAAGAAACTCAAATAAAGAAGGAAACAGCTGAATTTGTTCCACAAAATGTGCTGCAGAGTCTGTAACAGAGTTCATCCCCCAAAATGACTGAGTATTACTTCCATCAGCTGAAGATGTAACCAGTATCTTTACTGCTAGCAGTGCAAATATATGTATATATTCTGTACCACTGACAGGGTTACAGGGTCATTAGGCATGAAATGGGCAATGAGAGGGAACATTCATGGAGACAAAGAGCAAATAGTGAACA